GCCCTCCGCACACAATATTCACTCCCGGGCACCACTAGAGGGCCTTCATAGAGATACTATTAAGGGCTACAAGAGAAGCATATTGAGAAACGTCCAAATTTTTCTCTACCAATCACCGAGACAGCTACTTGTAGCAACTACAACAGCTGGGCACCACTGACTCAGTGGCACGGAGGTGCCTACCTTACTGCGAGTGCGTACATGGTCGCCAGTCTCCAGTGATGGGAGAAACTACTTCGATTCCTCACGCTCGTCCTCTTTCGACCGCTTCTGCTGCAATTCTTTTGCCGCGTGGCTCTCATACTCCTCCACCAATGAAATAGCATTGTTGTTAGGCGAGTACTTTCGCATTATCTCCTCACATCTGGTACCTCGGGAGAACTTGTTCAGCACCGGGTAGATGCGGAGTGCTAACTTAGCACTGCTAAGCCAGCCTGCCTCTTTCCTCGATAGTCTCGTTCGCGAGGGGCATCTTTCTGCAATGACCAGTATTTGCTCAGACTACGGAAGAGCATAATAGGCCATGTAAGGATCAGGATGCGTGTATGAAAGTCACGACATCTCGCATGGGCACCACTGGGGTGCCTGCAATACAGCACTGCACTGCAGATGAGTGATCCGTGTTGATCCAAATAAGTGATCTCGGATCACTCAGTACGAGTGATTCCGCCCAATACGAACTACCATCTAAACACAAATCCGCTCCCTCGTCCTTCTGTGACCATGTGCGGATTGCAATGATGTGGAAAATATGAAAATCCAACGAACCCTTAACGAATCTAAGTCTTTACTAACGACCTACTACCACTTACAATAGTCCATCCATCATCCTCCCAGTGCTGCAACTATACTTATCTATATCGACAGAACCAAAGAACTTTGCGAAATAGTCACCACTCAGAGACTTCGGAACTATAATGCAATGCTCAACACAATCACCAACAACCCACCAAGGTTCGACTCTCGCGTGCGAAATTTCAATTTCTTCTTCCGATTATAAAACAGCAAAAATTTGCTCCATTGCGGGGTTGCCCATTCGTAAAGCGGCAAATTGCTCCTCTGAAAAGTAGCAATTTGCTCAATAGTAGAAGGGGCAATTTATTGGTTTGCCCCTTTTTTGAGCAATATTGCTCAATTTTGTTACATAGTAGCACTTCACATAGCTGCAACTTTTGTATATTGTAGCAAATTTCTGAAATATAAACAAGCAAACGATATTCATTCGAGCAGTTTCTGTTATACAAAACAGCAAATTTGCGTATTTGTAAAGTGAATTTTGCTACTTTGCTCCTTTGTATATCAGCCATAGCGTTTTTACACACTAGCACAACAGCAAAAGCCGCAGAAAATATACATTCCAGCTAATTGGCACTTTTTTGCTATTTGCTCCTTTGCTACTTTGTGAATGAGCCAGAGGAGGTGTCATAGAAGTGAGTGAAAGACGCACTGGTACTCGTGATGTACCGTTACACTACATCAAGCGAGATCGAAATGACTGATACCCATAATGCAGACAACTGTGTGCGCTCCAACGGTTGGAGTCCAACCTAATAGATTCTATCATAGCTGCTGGAAGTGCGCACAAACAGAGTATGCAGAGATACTGCTTCTCATGTACCATCAGTAGTGCTGGAAGCACCGACAACAAGATTGTGGAATACAGAAACACAGAGTAAGAAGAATGATAGCTCACTTCACAAGGTGTTTCCGTCAGCCTAGACCAACATAGGGCTCACGCATTGTGCGTTAATGACATGAACTTAATGTGCAAGCGTGCAAGCTGAGTATCATCTCAGCATTCCGACTGGGGGGAGACTGCCGCGCGTGGAGATACCACTACGACGATCTGAACAGCCGCCTCCAACGGTGATTCCATGACAGGATTCCTGTCTGTCTGTCCTTCTTTATTTATTTCCTTACAGTTGATCCGTGCACGGTTTGTGACAAGTTCATGCCGCACGAGGTTGTGCGGAATTTTGTTCATTGGTAGCGTTTTACGTGAAGTACGCGAGTTGATCGATATTAGTAGAGCAGAAGGGCTCCGGAATGAGGGAGACTCCGGGGATCTTTTCCTTTGGTAACACCAGGATGTGGTTGGACTTTGGTAGCAAGTTGAAAACATCTTCTGATGACAACCTCATCATCAAGGGCAGATGCAAGTGTTGGGTTTCTCACCGTGGGTGAATGGCTTAACCAAGAGCATGTAACAGTTGGGAGTCAACTTTGGCACACGACAACCCTTCGACCACTCTCTCTCAACTGTGACAGTCGCAGTTGAGAATTTGACGTGCATCCAACAGTTGTTGTTCTTCCTTTGTACCCCATGAGGAGCTACACCCACATCTGCTTGTTGACCGTTGTGTCGGCCGCTTTTTCACCTCCAACTTCCTCCGCTGGTGACCATCTAGAGTTCTACAAGGAGCTGAACTATCCTTGGGTTGATAAGGAGGGCCCCCTATGCTTGAACGAAACTCTATGCCCTCAAAACCCCAACTATACTTGGAGCAGCTACTTCAAGTACTTTCTCGATAAGGGTGTCAAAAACTTCGTTCTCGGAGGCCTCATCATGGCAAGGAGTAGCATATGGTTCTCCGGAGCTTTCCACTCCTTTGACCAATGGAATCTCTCTGCGTTCATTGCACTGCGGAAGGAAGTGCGAGCTCGAGGTGGCAGGATACTGGGTGACCTGCACGACCAGCAAGTTGAGCGGGAGGGGTCTTTCAACAAGACACTCTTCCGCGAGAATGTTGACAAGTTCTTGCAGCACTTCCCCGTCGACGGCTTCAGGATAAAGGATTTCCTTCCCTATAGTGAACAGACCACCCAACATGTGAAGGAGGCTTTAGAGGTTTTCAATGAGATGAAGTTGACTTCTTCGATCCGGTGAGTCTTGCGGTGCATGAGAAACCCCCAGTAGCATCTCGCGTGTATATTGGGCCGGTTAGAATCACCAGATACAGTTGGATTGTCAGGGTGCAGCCTTCCCAGCTGGATGCATTCGCGAAGGCCAAATTGGGAGGAATCCCGAAGACAACTTTCCTCTCTTTGTGGCCGAAATACTGTGACAAGGAGGAGACAATCGCGTTTAACACAGACAAGTTCGCTGAACAAGCCATCAAGAACGCCACTGTGGCTGGTGTGGATCCAAGCAAGATTGTTCTGGAAGTGAGCACAAACAGTATCGTGATCAGCTCGTCGTCTTCGTTCCTGAGTGCGTATCCCGGATATATAAATTATAAAATATAATTGATGTCCCCATTAAATCTCAGGTGCCTCTCCTCGTTCGAGCCTCCTGTTCCGACGATTTGTTCGGGTACTCGATGGCGATATACCAATATCATCAAGATCCACAGGGCAACGGCATGTTCCACACGAAAGATGGCGACTACTACTTCTTTTCGCAGCCACGTGCTACCGACAA